GGACCCAAAACGGAAAAGTGGAGGTAATTTGACGAAAATCAACTGCTTCACGCCCGCGGTGGGGTGTGCCCGCGCGGTGCGCGCCCGTGAGACCGCGGTGGACTCAGAGAGAGAGAGAGAGAGAGAGAGAGAGAGAGAGAGAGAGAGAGAGAGAGACTGCTCGTGCTCGTGTGCACGTCAAGGGCCGTGGGAGTGCAAGAGAGAGAGAGGGCGCGAGAGAAGGCGGGAAGGTGCCGCCGGATGTCAAGTGGCGGCAGGCGCAGGTTTAGAGGAAGAGGTGGTTACATCACCACCTTCGGGATCCGATCTCCCGGGTAGGGCGCCGACACCTGCGCATCGATGGAGATGGACTGATGTTGGCGGCACGGCGTCGCTCGGGGGCGGAGGATGGCTCCATCAAAAGCGTGAACAGGGCGAATTCTCGAGACTTTTTTTTTTTTTTTTTTGGCGCCGTTGTGTTTCCGGTGCGATACGAGCCGTTGTCTTCTTAACGTTGGATAACGCTGCGGTAGTGGGTGGCCCCGGCGGGCGCGTCCCCCGCGGGACCACAGCGCAGCGCCTCGACCTCGGCCGCCCATGGCTTTCTAAAGGCCCTGCAGCACAGCGACTCCGCCGCGGGAACCCTCCTTTGCAGGGCTCGCAAAACGACGTCTACTTTCGATTCCAAGTAGTGCAAATCGCTCAATCCCGCGTCCGCCTGCCCCCCCCCCCACAAAAAGCGACACCGCGAGAATAGCGACACCCCACCCCACACCCCCACAACACGGGACCACGCACGGCTTGATACATAGCCTACCATTTTATTTGCAATGTGCAACCATGCACTTGAAGAGTGCGTGACATGTGACAGTGACACTACTGGGAGCATGAACATTCTACGATTCATGCGCGAATGTAATAAGGCAATATTATCACACGCCTATTTAACTTGGTTGGTTTACGCCGGCGGGCAGGGTTCACATCTAATTTAAAAGGCAGCTGGTACGAGCCCACGGCAAAGGGTGCTTGACGTGCAGATCACCTCATTCTCGTTGATGGGGCAGCGAGCAAGCGCGCACATCGCGAACCGCACAGCGGCGCGGTGCATCGTTCGGACGGAAGTAAAGGAATAAAAAAAGCGGGGTAAGGGGAGGAAAAAGGATGAGACTATAAGGTTACTTCGTGACGACTCGACCCGCACTTTCTCCCGTGCAAATCCAATGTGAGCCCAATGAGCTGTGTCGGGGCAGTGCAGGCCTCGGGTGCAGGCGGGGGCGCGCGCAGGGGGGCAGCGGGGTACAAAGAAGTACTATCAAAAGAAATACGCCACAGCCATTGAAGGTGCGCAGCCTCTCAGTGCGATGCAGATTAAAATTGTATAGGAATGAGTCGTAGTTTAGTAAATCAATGATTTGTTTTAAGTCTTCTGCTCCCCTTCCCCGGAGATGTCCAAACGAAACGGGAGCTGCTGACGGGGGGCGCGAGGCAGAGGGCACCACTTCCTCGTCGC